TACAGTATGAACTATTTATGAGAACCTTTGTTTTAAATTTGCAATTCTTAGCTATAAAAACTGAACATTTTATAATTTATTATATACCTACAATGATTGATAATTTTCGAGATTTTGATAAATTTTGTCAAAATTCGATCTTTAAATGCTTATAAAAAAAAATTGTGCTTTTGTATTTTTAATATTTTTCAATTGCTATTGTAACAATATATCAGGAGCCTTGTATTAAATTTTTACACTTTTGGCCCAACAGATAAAACTTAATTGATATTTATAGAAAAAAAAACTAAAAAAATTTAAAACTGAAAATGTCCGTAAACAGCTCAAAAAGAGTCAAAATATTTTCAAAATTTTACAGGTGTATAGGAAAAGCTAATCTGAACATTCAGTGAAATTTTTACGTATCTACAGTTATTTGTTTTTGAATTACAACAAAATAAGGAAATCGCTACATGAGAAATCGAGTGAATATCCAATGTTGTAAAAATTTGAATTTAAAATGCTCATAAAAATGTAATTTGACCTTCCGGTAGAGATTTTTTTATTGATAAAGGTAGACAAACTTATGAGTAATCTTGTATTAGATTTCCAAATCTTAAATTTAAAAAGAAAAATTTTTACGAATTCTTAACTCAAAATAATTTGCTAATTTTCGTGATTTTTCCATATTTTGTCAATTTTTGAACTTTAAATGCTTAGAAAAAAAAACTGTGACTTAGGATTTTTAATCTTTTTCATCTGCCTTTGGAACAGTATACTATGAGTCTTCTATTAAATTTTCAAGCTTTTTCAGCCAACAAATAAAATTTTATTGATATCTTTAGAAAAAATACTAAAAAAAGTGGAAAATGAAAATGTGCGTAAACAGTTCAAAATAAATCAAAACATTTTGAAAATGTTATCGTGTATAGAAAATTTTAATATAAACATTCAGTCAAAATTGCATGTACCTACGGTCATTTGTTTAAGAGTTGCACCAAAAACCAAGATCGATTTTTTCGAAAACAGATTTTAGTGTAAAAATTCCCGTATTTAATAAATTTTTATTTTGTTTTTCACGCTGCTTTTGAAAACTACTGGGGAATTTTCACTTTTGAACCCCCAAAGTACCAAATAGATTCACTTTCCTATGACTTATGAATATCATGGATTAACCAATCGTATTTTGCCCTGTTGACATATGGCTGCCCGACTTCAATATACTTATCAAGTTGGCCATCTAGTTGTTTTAAATCACCAAAATTAAACATAATCTTTTATAGTGAATTAATATATTATACAAAAAAAAAAAAAGTTTAATTGATCTATGGAGCTATATTGGGTTATTGCAGCAAGTTCTTTGTGTATGGTTTTTGAATTGTCAAACTTTTTATTACTTTATGGATGATCCATCATTCATAAGTGGATAAGTAATCATAATATTATAGTTTAATTTTGTCTAATACAATTATTTTCTAGCACACAGCTTATTACATTATAATTTATAACGTTATTGAATGATTTATTTTTTTCAAATGATCAAATATTATTTAATACTTTCTAAGTGTCTATTTCTTGTTATTTTTAATTTAATTCATAACACTCAAAGAGCAGATAGTATAGATTACATTTAAATTATTTTGCACAACTTGATTCACAATTTAAATGTATTACATCTGATTATCATTTGTGTGAACATTTGTACCTAATACAAAGTAAATTAGTGTATACAATTATTTTTGATTATTATTATATAACAAAAAAAGACCACATATCAATGCCTAGACCATACCACAGCACCTTTGACTTTTTAGTAGTATATACAGAATGATGCTTTTGAGAATGCTCACAATTCAAAACTCGAACTTGTAGTTTTTCAGTTATATAATTCTGTGTACTATGGATATTTCTATAGTAATGGGTAAAGTAGATATGGGGGATTAGATGATTTTAAAATGTTTGTAATATATTTGTATAATAAATATTATATCTTATATTACATAATTCCCATTGTACGGTTTTATTATTTAGTTGTAGATAATTTAAAAAATAACAGTAAATACTTGAAATTATCACCAAATTCTAATGTTATCATTTTATATAATATTATAAGTGTTGAAATATACTAAATACCTTTTGAGGTTTTTATAGACTTTTGAATTTCTAATGTTTAAAAATTTCATCAAAATCAAAAAAAAAATGTGAAAACTACGACTAAATTTATAAAATGTTCAATCTTCATATCTGATTATAACAAAATTTCATAAGAATATCGATTTAAGTTTTTTTTTTGTAAATTATAAATATTATTTGCTGGTAACTTTTAATGTATTTATGTATACATATTACTATATTTTATTCACACAATGGATTTTTAAAATTAAATGTTTTTGATAAGAATTAAGCATTAATTCAACTAGGTAACTACATAATTAATAGTAAAATACATTTTTTTAATAGCAATATCATCATAAAATATAATAAGTAATATAGACGGTTTGTGGTCCCTAAGAATCGTTTTAAGTAGATATACAAGGATTACTGCACGACTGACGATGAAGAACGGCCCGAAGCACGCTTCGTAGTCGCAACAGCGACACGTCGGAGGTGTCACCGACCACCGTTCTTCATCCCCCCACCTGTGACACCACGGGCGGGACGACGATCATGGCATCGTAAGGACGTACGAGGCTCCAGAGCGGCGGATTCCGGTCGGCTCGCCAAAACAACAACGAACATGCCACACCAACTCCGTTAAAAATTGTCAATGTAAACTGTTAATGTAATGTTTTTAGAGGGGGGGTAAGTCGGGGAATTGTCCCGTCTACCCCCCACGTATGTATATTTATTATTTGTTTGTTATTATCCAAATAAACGATGGCGGCGTCGCGGAAGTATTGCGAAAGCAGTTCCCGCGACGCCGTTGGTTCAAAACTGAAAAAAAAAAAAAAGATATACAAGGATTATATTATATCATTCGCATCACAAATTAAAAATGTTCACATTATAGATACCTAATCACGGCACCTAAATAATATTCCATGAAACTCACACATACAAAATATATTGATAGCTGATTGTTTATCTGAGAAAGTTTTCGAAACGGATGAACCGTGCTTATAATATATTATAAATTGTAAGTTGATCATTTAGATTCAACGATTCCTTGTTTCAACTTTCTTTCTAACCAATTATCTACAGGTTTATAAAATACACCAATGTGTTACTAATTTTTACGTTTGTTTTATAGAACAAATCTTTAAGCAACTATTTTAAAACGTTGTTATTTTATTTTACAGAATTATAATAGATAAAAATATGAGATACTGATAAAATAACCCAAACCACATTTGCGTAGCTAAATAGTCTATCTATTACGCCGTGGGATATGAATACGTATAGTACCTACCGAAGTCTTAAAATATAGTTATGTTTCCGAAATAAATAATATCATTTGAGTTAGGAACAAGAAACATTTATCGAAGGTGTTATAAACGTTGAGATAAAAAATATGAAAAAGTTGTTGCAATTTAAAATATTTAATTTTTTTTAATAGACACACAAACTTTATATAACATAAGACATATTGATGGGAGTATCTAATGCCATTTATGTTAACTTTAAGTTGCATGAGATCGAAGATGCTATCAGTTGTACTTTCAATGGTGGTTTGTTGAAAATAAACTTACAATCAAAATACTGACCTAATAACCGTGACGCTAAAAAGGTGAACAGTCATCGGTCTTTATGTAAATAGACAAATAGTAACTATTGTAAAAATACGAACTTATAATATAGCAACCGTATAAATGTGATATTTGATACACCTAATATTATATCTTAAGATCAAAGTGTTACAAAATGTTAAATATAATAAACGGCAAATTACATAAAATAATATTATCCGCACTAGGTGACTAGGTCACCAAAATGCTTCGCCAATTACCCCAATTACCAATTACCTACTCACTTCTTTCACACACCGACTGACCTGTACAAGTTATGTGTATATATGTATTAGGAATTCAAAATAAGTGGACGGATTCGCCGAGCACGAATAGTAAATGCTATAATGGTGTGCGGTGACTGGTGGGTGTGTAAATGTGTATAATATGTGTTTGTGTGTGTTTCTAAAAAACTAACTACAAATAGGTTAATAATTTTAGTAATGCGCAATAATATAATAAATAATTCACAGCAGTATACAATTTTGTTACTCACACTTAATCTGCTATGATTAAGCATTTATATAAATATTTTGTAATGGTAAAAATGACCATACTTATTAAATAATAATTCGTGACACAAACTACGGAGACACGAGAGATACACTTTATTACTAATTTGGTACGAGTATCTTTCCATTGTTCTTTATCCACGATATAATAATAATGAAATATAATAATATGGTAATTAAATTATAATTTATCTTTATACTTACACAATTTACAGTTACATAAAAATGTTCGTTTGATATGATGAATAATGGAACCATGGAGACAATTATGCAGTTACTGTACAAATGGAATATAAATCGATAGTACATTTATTGTAAATTAAGGAATACCTTGTACCGTTTACAGCCTATAATAAAATAATGAAATATACGAACAAATAAACTAATATATTATGAAATTATTAATTTTTTTATTTTGTTTACATGTATTCAATCTGCTTACAAAATAAAAACAATAAGTAATATAATGATAACAAAGGTTAACATAGAAAAAGTATATACAAACATGAATCGCGTGAAGAGGAGACCGTTTATTAACAGAACCCCAGAAAAATTAAAACAATGTTTACAAAATATACTCCTTTTCAAAAGAGAATATACTGGTCGGCGACCAATTTATGTCCACCAATTTCCCAGTTGGTTCCAAATCGTGGCACCACTCGAATCATTCGACATGCGCGAAAGCGGTTTATTCTCTTTTGAAAAGGAGTATTGGTATTGTGTATAATACTATTGTTTAGGTTCCTAAGGTATATAATAAAATATTGGTATTAAGTATGGACTTTTATGGTTTTGACAGACGGCCATGAAACAAAACGTCGCCAGCACGAGAGAGTATCATCATGACGAATGGATGATTGGCGTGAAACTCAACTTTTGGCGGTGTCAACACAAGCGAATACGAGAATACCGTTGCTGTACGCAAACCACATAAAAGAAGATAATGATGAGTTTTTTTATATTATTTAAACTTTTCATCAACTATAGTCAAGGTTACAATGTTACATTATTTATAGTCACGAATACAGGTAGGTAACGGGGAAAGGAGCGAATTAAAGCAGCCAGCTTTCGTCTCGAGAATAAAACTTAAAACGACCTTTCCCACAGATTATTATTTTCAAAATATTTTAACCTAGATATAAAAATAGTATCTGCAAATTAGTTTTAAATACACCTATTTAATATGTCAGAAAAACGAATGGTTTAAAGTAAATCAATATTTAGAGTCATGGCACCATTGTGTTGATCCTGATATGCCTAGTGACTAGCAATAATTTTAATTAAAAGAATAGTTACAAATGTTACAATTCACGGTAAGTATCAAATTAATTTTCGAATAATATTAACCAATATATTTCTTTGTTTATACCGCATGTATAATACCTCGTATAATAAAGTTGTATGCAGAATGCAGATGTATAATACCATTGATTCTAAATAGTATTATAATAATCAATTAATTAAATAACCATTAATGATAAGTCCCACTCACGTCTCTACGCCTTAAAAAAATGCCTACTATAATAGTTGCTAGAAATATAAGTATTAAAGTATCTACCACCAACTATTATTATAAACAAATAGTCCCAACAATAACCTTTAAAAAACTATGCACACAATTATTGTTAAGAGTTATTAGACAAATTAACCAGTATTTAAACAGTTAAATATTGCCAGACAATGTGATGAGCTTAATTAAGGGGCCTCGGCGCCTCGCTATATGGCATTGATTTAAGGAGAATCATTTAGGCAATTTCTATTCTCGTCGTCGCCACCCGAGATCTATGTGTTGGTCGTAAACAGTGTTCGGACAAATAGATAGACAGTTAGATAAATAGTTACAAGGTATCTAAATTCTAAACGTTTATCTTAGATTATTTATTTATTAATCTAAATAAATTCATCTAGATACATTTTGTATTGATAAAAATCGCGAAATTGTACAAACACATTTTTAAATATTTATACAGATTCTCAAACAAAGTTTATGGTTTATAAATAATTATTTTTGTTTATATCATTATTATTATTATGTTCCTAATGCCCAACTAAAATATACCTAAATTTAAAACCATTTAAAAAATAATTGTATCTTTTTTTTATCTTGATAAAAAAGTATTTATCTTTATCTAGATAAATATGAGTTAAGTTATCTTTTATATCTATCTAGATACATTTGAGTTGAATTATCTTTATCTTTAGCTAGATATAAAAGTACTTATCTAATACGACTCGTAAATGATTATATAGTGTGTGGCGTCCATGCGGGTCAATATTGTAGCGGTACGGAGGGCTCTCACATGCACTCACACGCACATGTCAGTTGGTAATATGAAAAAAATTTTTATTTTTCACTCAAACACACGATTTTAATTCCAACAATACGTCGCAACGATTACCTCGATTTGACTTCTGACAAAATATTCTGTTTTACCACAACATGTACGAGGGATCGATCATTTTTAAAATTGTATTTAGTTAATTAAATATTTAAGTTGGAAATTCTGATTTTATTGCAATTGAAATTATAAAATTGAAAATGTGGCTCGATCGTTCCCTTAACATTACAGAAATCCAAATATTTTTTTAGAATAAAAATGGTGATAATCGTCGACACGTATCGTTGGAATTAGAAACAGTAGTTTTTGACAAAGAAAAACGTGGAAGTGAGGAGGCCTAGTGATGATCAAAATTAGTTTTGATGAAGACTCTTGCTGCAAGACCAAGACCAAGACCAAGACCAAGATAGTACTGGTCTAGCAAGACCAAGACCAAGATTAGGCTTGCAAGAACAAGACCAAACCAATACCGAAGCTAAAGGACCAAGACCAAAACAAGACTATCATTGCAAGACTCTTGCAGTCTAGCAAATTTTTTTTTTTCCCCAAAAACACATTAGTTTTTCTAGATTTCATTAACTAATAAATTATAATGAAAATTATAAGAAATTATTTGTACCTAGTGTTATTAAATTTGATCAGTATTCGAGGAAATGTCGAATTATTGAAAAATATATTAGAAATAATTGGAATTATAATATTACAAAATAACATGTTTCATACTAATTAGCAATTACTGAAAAATGATTTTACTTTCCCAAAATCGACATGACGGTCTATTGCCAATAAGAAACTTAAACATTTATTACTTGATATATTGATTACATTAACTGGACACTGGTGAATAAAAGAAGAATAAAAGTTTAATTATAAATAAATAATACCCTAAATATTATCATTATAATTTATAACAAACATAATTATTAAGCAATTTAATATTCGGAACAAACCATACAGTTTTTTTTAATATTATTATTTGTTAAAGTGAACATTAAAAAAACACAAATTTAATTTTTATAATAATATTGGTCAATAATTAGTAATTAGTAATAACACAAAGTAACAGGTATTTAGTTTTTTATATATTTTTGTGAAAATAGCAAGTCTTGGTCTTGTTTTGATCATCACTAGTGAGGCCCCTTAATAGAAACAATATTACGTGTTAAATGTTATTTTTTTCCCTAATAAGTAGATAAAAGAAGAATGATAACCAATTCAAAGTAAAAAAAATAAACTGTGTTACTTGTAACTGCTGCAGCCACAGTTCCTTTTTCATTGACATCGACATATGCCTTATGCACAAGTTTATTCACATACAGATCACCATCTTCAACCACGTTAGAAAAGTTTGCCTCTGGTGTAAACATTGTTGGACATCCAAGCTAAAAAAATTTATAAATAAATTAATATAAATTGTTTTTTTTTTTATACTCACGTTGGATAATGTATCTTTTAACTGCAATGACTGTTCTAATTTGAAACGAGGCAATTTGACAGTAACATGATACTTGGACATTTTATTTGAAATATCATTCAAATTAATTTTGATAACTATTTTCCAGTTCTTTCAAACCATCTTTAGGCATCAGGCAATAAAATTATCATTTTAAAGCATGGTTCTAAACAAAAAATACAAATATTACATTTTTCAAAATATTAAATTTACATTTATAAAGCAATATTCACTTCATAGGGTAATTCAAGTGCGGCGAATTTTAGATCACTATCATGATAAGTATTGCAACTCACGTACGAGATTCATCATTTTAACTGGTACTTTGTCGCTCGGAGTAATATAAAATAAGTCGTCTGCAGCATCATTAAATGTATATACCCAAGAACTTTGAAAATACACAGCACTTGTTAATATTAGGCCAGTGTCGTTAGTAATGGAATCTGTAAAATAAATTGGACCATTAATTACTTATATTATCTATATTTAAATATAAACATATTATATAAGTTAATAACCTTGAGAAAATAAATCTCTGATTTTTTTATTGGTTTTGCTTAAAACCCAATTATTTAAATATCTGCGCTGATCTTTTGGGGCATTCTTGAAATCTAATTTCTCCATAGAAGATTTTAAATATTTCATTGAGTCGTCCACAAAACTTTTTTTAACATCGAAAGATTCATCAACAAACATTCCGGTTGCCAGTTTGAGATTATAATTTTTACTCTAAAATAGTATTAAATGACTACGTATAATTATATTTAAATAAGCTTGTAACGTAAATACATTTAACCATTTTCATACAATTGTAAATTGTAAATATAGTTTATCCGACGAAATGTATAAGACTAAATGTTAAGTGAAAATTATTATAGTATTTGGGTGAAAGTTATTATAACATTAACATAAATTTCATAATTTTGTTAAAAACATCAAAAACTTAAACAATTCATCTAGCATGTCAGATACCGTATAGTAAACTTACTAGTAAGTCTTCAATAACTTCCTAATCCTTCCATTGAATGCGTAGTTTTATTTAAATGTATAGTTGTTTATCATTTCGTCAAAGGTTTTTGAAGCTTGCTCCAAGCTAGCCATAAACATAATCAATGAATACTGAGTGGAGAAAAGAAAATATTTCCTTCATCAGTTTTGGCCAATTCCTAAATTATTTAAAATGTAATTAATTAGGTAAAATGAATTATATTTATAATAAAAATTAGTTATTTAACTTGTACAAGAAAACGAAAAATCATGATTTGCCAAGCTCAATGATTCATAATTTGTATTGAGTGCCATATTTTTTGGATCTAAAATATTTAGGTATATAATTGAAATGTATTTAATATTACTTAATAATTCTGCACACTTAACAATAGGTATAATTCAGCTATTATTTTACTATAATATATTTCAACAACAAATCAATGAGAAATAATTTGATTTGTGTTTTTGAAGATTGATAATGCTAACAAGAAATAACTGTATACTTACATTAATTTACTTTGTATTACCAATTTTCACACAAAATATAATCAAATATAATACATTTCAATTGTGAATCAAGTTGTACAAATTAATTTTAATTTAATCTGTTCTCTCTACTACACAGATTTTAACTTGAAAGCGTTTTTTATTATCAAAACCCTCGAACGAAGTTACTGTCTGGTGAATCACGAGAGATCGGGTTTTTTTTTATCGATGGTCGAGTTGCTGCTTTGGAGACTGACTGCGGGTTATCATGACTGTTCACTGATTGCGTGAATATTTCCTACCTAATATTATTATATTACATAATATGATGTTTTACATTAATAGGACGTCACACCCGCATATGTTGTCTCCGTCTTACAAATGTACAACATAGCCAAAACTGTTTTGACAACTTTCCTCGCACCATATTTGCGGCAGAACTACCAAATTTTCACAACAAGTAAAGAAGAACTTTATCTGTGCAACAGAGTGCTCTTTTTTTAAATAGAACTATCCAATCATTTTGTATAAGCAAATGAAAAAAACAAACAAACTTTTATTTTGTTTATGTTATATAAAATATAAGTACGCTGTTGCATGTATAATTTTCTACCCTATATGTTCAGAAATTTTGGAGCCACTACTACAAACACAAAAAGATAAAAGTTGTCCCGCTCAAAACAATTTGTACATTTGTAAGACGGAGACAACACATTATCTTGAAACTTATACTTTGCATTAATAGGTATTAATAAAATTAATCGCATTTTTATTTCCATTTATTATGTATATAATATTGATATTATTATGATGTGGGAATGTACTTGCCTTCACTCATAACTTCGTCAGTATTTATCGTTTTCTGTGCACGGCTGTGTTTGGAAATTGAAAATTAAATTGTGCAGAGTTCAATTAGATGATCGTGACCAGGCCAGTGGTCTGTGGTGGTACCTATTTTTTTAATTAAAATTTGACAACCGGATGACTTCTCGGGATAAATTTCAGACGTATAACTACGAATAATTCGTCCTCTGCGTTTGTGTCATCTAAAAAGAATGAGAACGCTTTATGTTTTTATAAGTAATATATATATATATTTTTTTTTTTATTAGGGTTAAGGCTTCGACAACGATTAGGTCATTAGACTGTGGTACTGTAGGGGGGTACTATAGGTTTGTTTCGGCAGAATTTTCGATTTGGGCACCCATAAGTATCCACCATGCCCGGGTAGGGGATGGTGGCACTTTTTCTACGGACACCATGACTTGCCCGAAGAAAAATGCCGCCCACGGCCGGGAATCGATCAGGCAACGGCTGCGTCGCAACAGACGTTTAGACCGCTCGGCTACTCCGTCACCCAAGTAATATATTATGTAAATCATTAAAATTATTATCTAATATTGTTTATTGTTAATTGTTATTGTTTGAAAGCGGACTTTCCTTTGTATTGTAAATTGTAGTTATTAGGTATTTATAGGTCTGTCGTCTGTGAATAGGTATATAACATTTAAAATGACCTTACTTATTTATAAAATATAGACGGTATTAATTATTTTAAAAATACGGAAATTAACAAAAATATATATATATAAGTAATAAAAAAATATTTGCAATTGAAAATGAATACCGACGAAACAAAATAAAAGTTCCAAAATTATGTACCAATACTTTTTATTTATTCCCACAATGATCGCACAGCGCAAGTCCAGAGGCGCATCTTATTATCGTCTGCCACCAATATTTAAAAAATAGAGCATACTAAGCACTTTTCTAATTTTAATAAGCTTGGATTGATTTCCTTGGTAGATAGACGTATGACAGCGAATCTAGTATTTTTGAGTAAGTTAATTAATGGACATATTAATGCTCCCAAGTTGGTTAACTTAAGAGTTCCTCCTCGTTTTTCTAGATCACGTTATCTTTTTGTAATTCCTTTCCATCATACTAGATAACTATGGCAAGAATAATCCAATTGATCGAATGATGCGTTTGGCCAATGAGCACCCTACCTCATTCAGCCTACAATTATATTATCCTTAATATGTGTTTTGTACTTTATTAAAATTATTTTTAACTATTAGTATATTTAACTTTGTAAAATTGCCCTCATGGGCTATATACCTAGGTAGTTCAATTTCTGTTTATGAACAAACTGTGTTTTAAAACTTAACTTACCAGACGTAATAGGTACTGCAATTTGCAAAAAAATGTGTTTGTATCAAATGCACAGCTCTACAAGCTATAACTACGTCGTTCATGTTTATATAACTTCATTGTCTACTAAACATATTTATAATATAATTTAATAGTGTTAATACCAATGGTTTAATATTTTATATATCTAACCATATAATATAATATAAATTATAATCATTGTCCACTGATGTAAATGGAATATGAATAATTTTTATTTTTTCGGACCATACCTAGACTTGCGTCTTGCAGTCTTTAGCAAACTCGATCTTACTAGGTAGTATAATAATATGTCGAATGATTATAATGAAATATTATGATATTCAGCAGAATAGCAGATATCCGTGTGATATTGCTGCGACACTCAAGGCCAAATTTAGAAATATGGAGCTACCGGAAAGTTACAGTTGGCCAATTCTCTACCCACTCATACTTACTATTTAGTATTTAGTATTTTTCAATTTTTAATTTAACATATTATATTAATACAAGATAATAAGTAGGTACTACTATACGTTCCTATAAATGCTTACCCGTCCAACTGGTTTTTTTTTTAATTTTATAAAACAACAACATAAATATGAATACTGGTTGAGTTTATAATTAAAATATTTTATTAATAATTAATATATAAAATATATAGTTCCTACCTCTACATATTACACTCTATACTCTATAGGTATATTAGAAATTATATATGTATTAATATGTATAATATTGTATTATAATTTTACAAAAATAATTATTCATAACAAAAAAAAATTATCAAGGTTATTCTTTACAAACGTTTGGGTAAATAATTTCTCATATTTATTCGCACCTAATTTTCTCATTTATTTTTTGAACGTTTTTCTCAATTTGATTTTATGCCTTAGATATTTTCTTGACTGCCAGTCGCCAGAAATGTGTATTCTAAAAAAACTGTATAGTCTATAATATACATTATTAATATTACATATTATCTAGTAATTATACAGAAAAACATAGGTACTTCCTACAGCTATTGACGCTATAAATCATTAAATTGGCAGTTAAAATTTTCATGTTATTGTATTTTCTATAATACTTGTATCTAATGTATACTTGTATGTATAAATTATTGTGGAAAATTAAGTACTACACCTAAATTGTTAATAGTATAAACTTATGTAATATTGTCATAACAGGTAGTGGACACAAATAAATACCTATAATATTTATATAATTATATTTTAACTTAGGTGGACGCCTTATGGGCATTTTTTGTCTCCGTCTTACTAACGTACAGCATGGAAAATGTTCACAATAACACATTTTAATCTGTAATTTCAAAAATTAGAGTGTATTTACATCTTATAAAATTTAAAGGTAAGAACATTAGCTAGGACTACATCTCTTAGGATTTCATTGATATTATTATTTTTAAGTAATTCATGATCATTATGATTTGTTCAAAAATTTTCATAACTTGTTTCTTAATAAAAATATCAATAAAAGCCTTCTTGATGCCATTGATAATAATCTTATACCGTTAAATTTTATAAAAGGTAAATTCACTCTAATTTTAGAAATTACGGAGTAAAATTTGTTATTGTGAACTTAAAATTTGCCATGTTGTACGTTTGTAAGACGGAATTTACAAATTACCGTGTAGCGTCCTCTTAATGTGTGAGTGTTCCTATATTATAGTAAACACTATAAGTAAACCTATATTATGGGCTAGTAAAGTCAGAGCTGTACAATTTCATGTTTTCACTGACTTGTTGAAACTTTTCAAAAACTTTTCATGTTTTCATGAAACTTTTCAAAAAAATTGAAACTTAAAAATTTAAATCTTTTGTATAAGTACCTTTAATTGATAGTTAAATGAATATATGATTCAGGGCCGATTTCACCAACACAGTTAATCACGGTTAAAGTTAACCGGAGTTTTAATCGGCCGAATTTGGCTGGTTAAGGGCCGCTTTCACCACTACTTTAAACTCCGATTAAAGTTAAACCGGGGTTTAATCGGCCGAATTTGCCCGGTTAAATATCTGTTATCAGTCGATTAAGCGTTAACTGAGATTAACTGTGTTGGTGAAATCGGACCTCGATAGCTTTTTTCACACATCCAAATAATATATTATCAAATTATTTAAAAGTGATTTATATAATGCAATTATTAGATGCTGGCCATCTTAATTGCAATTAAATGGTAATCATTGAATACTAATAATAATTATATTGAAGCAGTGTTTAATATTTATTTTCCTAGTCATTTATCGATTTTCCAATAGAAACTAATATTAACTTTTATGACTGTACCAAACATAGACTAAAAATAATAACAAACCTAATAAATTTAAGAAATAATAATATTATTAAATAACTAAAAGTATTTTAAAGAGCTATTGGAAACATGATCTATGTCTACTATATCATATCAAATACTCAATTTTGACATAGGTATAGTTATCAATAGTGGTTGCTATAGTTTAGAACTAGAGCCCGATAAAAAGGTATACAAAAATGTATGGTTGTAAAGTGTAAATTTAAGATATAAATACCTCCCAAAATATTAAGCATCACAAATAGCAAGTTCACAAAACATTTTAATTTTAATAGTTCACAATTGTACAGACTTATGTAATACTAAAAAATATAAATAACCTTTGTAAACATAGACAACACCTATCTATTTTTTGATAATGAAAAGTTTCACTTGAACATTTCTGAAACTTTTTAGCCTCGCATCTCTGAGTATAATACTGCTATAATAATACTCATGAAACTCTGTACCTAATTAAATTATATTATAACTGCATGTTGGGGAGGCACTAATATAACAGGTATTAATGCATTGCATATTACACAAAAAATTATTGTAAAAGTAGCATACTACCATTAAAATACCCATCAGAGGAATTATTCAACCATACAAATATTATCTGTTTATAAATTGTATACATTAGACAAATGTTGGTGTATTTCAATTATTAGTGTATGGTGTTCAAAATTTATCTTAACTTTTCCGTTGCCCGGAATAAAAATTCCGATTCGCAGCAGTACATTATCAGGTAGGCAATCTACCTGCGGTAGATCGCGAACCCTCTGCTATTTGTACGTAAGTGTATGATTTAACTGTTAAATTATCAAAGTTATACCAATTAATATTAATAGAAAAAAAAAATTGAAAACTGAAAATGTCCGTGAACAGCTCAAAAAGAGTCAAAATATTTTCAAAATTGTATGGTGTATAGGAACTGCTAATATAAACATTCAGTCAAATTTTCATGCATATACAGTAATTTCGTTTTTAAATTACAACAAAATTAGATTACATGAGAAATCGAGTGAATATAAAATGTTGTAAAAATATGAATTTCAAACGCTCATAAAAATTTAATTTGAGTTTCTTGTAGACATTTGTTTTTTGTTAAAGGTAGACAAACTTATGAGGAAGCTGGAATTTCCATATCATAGGTTTAAAAAGAAAAAAATTTTACGAATTCTTAAATCAAAATAATTTGCTAATTTTCGTGATTTTTCCATATTTTGTCAATTTTTGAACTTTAAATGCTTATAAAAAAAAACTGTGACTAAGGATTTTTAATATTTTTCATCTACCTTTGAAATAATAAACTGGGAGAATTCTATTAAATTTTCAAGCTTTTTTAACCAACAAATAACATTTCATTGATATTTCTAGAAAAAAAACTAAAAAAAAATGAAAAATGAAAATGTTCCTAAATAGTTCAAAACAAATCATAATATTTTGAAAATGTTATCGTGTATATAAAATGCAAAAATATAAACAACCAGTGAAAATGTCATGTTAATACGTTAATTTGTTTTAGAGTTACACCAAAAACCTAAATCGATTTTTGAAAAACGATTTCGCGTAAAAATTCCCGTTTTTCCTTAAGTTGGCTTAAGTATTTCTTGGCGCTTGTGAAAAAAGTATTCCTTGTTTTTAAGGTTGGTCTTTTAGTTATTATCACACATTTTTTTATTTTTTAAATTATAAAAATTAGTATAAACACTATAAACAATAATTATTCTTAAACATCGACTATGAATACAACCCCTAATGTTGTCAATATTTTCTCTCTCTATCTATCACTTCAACTTACAAGAATCAAATACATTACAGATTGTTAGATTTCTCTAATGAATAATATTTATTATCTTATTGATATAAATCAATAACATTTGTTGACAAAATAAATTAACAAACATAGTATTTATGATATAAAATAAATAATGCTGTTCACAAAATATAAAGCCAATTAAAATTACTCAAATATTGTTTGAAACTTAATCAATTTTGGTCATTCGACCTACAAATAAAATGAAATTACTCATAGTTGAAATAAAAAATATAAATGGATGATCAACAAAGAAATCTTTAGAAGGACTTGCATAGCACAGACCTGGCACACCTATAATATTATTAAAATGTTAAATAGCTTATATATTTAATTATATTTAGATACTAAAGCTTTATTAAATAGTTTTATTTTTCTAACCATGGACATAAATTGTGAGAAGAGGTGAATTATACAGCTTTATAAATGATTTTATATTATTCATTCACGAATAAATCAGTCAACAAGTATTTACATTTTACATATCTCCAGAAATAATTATAATTATTAAATGTTTTTTGTATGATAGACAAACCCCGGTAAGATAATAAACATTATTATTACTTGTAACTGCTGCAGCCTCAGTTCCGTCTTCATCTACATCAATATATGCCTTATGCGAGACTTTAGTCACATACAATTTACCATCTTCATCGATGTTAGAAAAGTTTGCGGCTCCAGGTGTAAACATTGTTGGACATCCAAGCTAAAGTATTGTGTAAATAAATCAATATTAATTTAATTAATCGTAACTATACTTACATTGGATAATGTTTTATCCAATTCCAGAGACTTTTCTATTTTGAAACGAGGTAATTTGACATCAATATTTCTCTGTGTCATTTTCTCTGAAATTTCATGTAATTTAAATTTTGAAAAATTATTTTCTAGATTATTCAAACCATCTTTATCATCGGGTAGTAAAATTATCATTTTAAAAGCATGGTGCTAAACAAATAAAACAAAATAATACATTTTTAAAAATTTTAAATTTACATTTATAAGCAGTATTATCACTTTATAAGGTAATTCAAGTGCTTTGAATTTTAAAACTTTATCATGAAAGTATTGAAAGTGACGTGTGAGAGTCATCATTTTAACTGTTACTTTGTTGATTGGAGTCACATAAAAAAAGTCATCATAAACATATTCAAATTTATATGCCCAATCACTTTTAAAATGCACAGCATTCACCAATACTAAATCAGTGTCTTTAGTAATTGAACCTGCAAACAAAAATTGGAACATAATCTCGTTACTAATCTATGTTTAATTATAAACAAATTACTGAAGTAAATAACCTTTGCAGGAAAAAAAATCTTTGATTTTGTTTTTTGTTTGGATTAAAACCCAATTATTTAAATATTGACGCTGTTGTTCTGGGCCATTCCTGAAATCCAATTTTTCCATAGAAGATTTTAAATATTTCTTAGAGTTTTCCACAAAACTATCTTTAACATCGAAATTTGTATCGACAAACATTCCGGTTGCCAGCTTTAGATTATCATTTGCACTCTAAAATAGGATAAAGTAGTACAAAACTATATTTTTATAAGGTAGTGAAATATTTTATTGTATTTATATTATATTTACCTACATTTTATTATTTTATAAACTTTACTGTTATTTCATTATGATGTTAAATTAAAAAAGGTGGGCAAGTGGGTTTCACTGTGTTGTACAGTAGGTTACAAGTAGGTCACTGTAATGGATCGTGTAACATTTTAATTCAATGATATAATAATAATATCATTGTTTAAGAAAAACGATTCTGATCGAAGACTGTCAGATAGCCTATGATATTAGGTACTAAGTATATTTGATGAAATTATTGTGAATAAATTAAATTATATATAACCTATTTACGTGGAACCTTCTTTTAAATTTTCAATTCTTAACTTCAAAATTTGAATATTTTATAGATTTTTAACAACAAAATAATTATTAAATTTTAAATTTGATAAATTTTGTTAAAAAATCGAACCTTAAATGCTTATAAAAATAAATTGTGCCTCTGTATTGTTAATATTTTTAAACTGCTGTTGTAACAATATAATATCAGAAGCCTTATATTCAATGTTCGCCTCCTTTTCACGGCCCAACAAATAAAATTGTATTGAAATTTATAGAAAAAAAAAACTAAAAAAATTGGAAACTGAAAATGTCCGTAAACAGTTCAAAACAAATCAAAATATTTTGAAAATTTGATCGTATATAGAAAACGTTAATATAAAAAGTTAGTCATAATTTCATGTATCTATACGGTAATTTGTTTCAGAGTTACACCAAAAACCGATATACATTTTATCGATTTTGCGAAAAATTCTCGTTTTTCCTTAATTCTTCTTTTGTTTTTCACGGCGCTTTTGGAAAAAAGATACTGTTGAAGAAAATCGAATCATTTTTACTGTCCTAAAAGGTGATGACAGACATAAAAAAAAATTAAAATTAAAAAAAAAACACATCATTGTAAAATCAATACATTAATCGCTCCGCTCAGAATCTAAAATAAATTACCGTAATATTAGGAAATAAATTAATAATCCATTGCCTTCAATTTCATTAATCTAAAACTAGTAAACAGTAAAATAATATATATTTATATTTGTACATTATCATAAGAATACATATTGATAAATAATAAGTTATTATAATTAATATATTACAAACTCACTGTTAAGTAATCCAATAATTTTCTATAGGCTTCCAGTGTTTCATCAGTTTTCCAAGAAGTTTCATTTAGATGTATAGTGGCTACTATTTCATCAAATGTTTTTGAAGCTGCTCCAGTACTAGCCATAAACATAATCAAATGGATACCGAATGGAGAATAGAAAATATTTCCAGTTTCAGTTTTAGCTACTTCCTATAGAAATAGAATATTAACTATTTGATAAACATATGATAATATGTACACTCAAAACAGTCAAAACATTAATTCTTTACCTTGTACATAGAAAACGAAAAATTATGAACTGTCGATCGCAATGTTTCTAAATTTGCAGTGAGTGGCACGATTTTTTTATCTGAAATAGATAAAAATGTAATAATTCACATATATATAAGGTATATTTTAACTATTATTATTTATTACTGATTTATGTAATAGGGATCTCAAATTTGATAGTTTTATCTATATTGAACACTTATCTAATAAACGATATAGCAATATATTGTTTAGTCTAAGTGTACTGATCAGATCACGGAATTATACCTATATAATTGATACCGGCATAGTTGCATATTAGTATGTAATATTATTATCAGTGTTTTTATTGGTAAATATTTCGACACAATCTTTTTTTGTTATTTTTTGCTGTAACTCAAAAATGAAAAGTTGGGCCAGTGGGTACGTAAATTTAATAAAAATTTATTTGATTTACTTTAAACTTTTTTTTGTAATAAGTATGAAAACTATAATGGTGAATTTTGTATTAGATTTTAAAATCTTAGATATTATGTATAGAAACAATTGTATGGATTTCTAATTCAAAATAATTTTCAAATGTTCGCTGTGATTTGTGAAACTCTGACTTCAGAACGATTCGATCGTAAAAAATATTGTGAAAATTTTTCGACTGAGCAAAAAAATGTTGTGGACAAGTGGGTACCGCTCTGCTGTACAGTAGTTGTCTAGTATGTCATTGTAATGGATGTGTTTTATTTGAAAAACAATTCTGAGCTGAGATGGTGCGTCAGTCTACGCGGCCTAGCAATCAGTGACGCCGAACATGTATGGCTAGTGGCTACTGGGGTAAATACTCCATAACTTTGGTGGGTGGGTATGTGGGTGACTTTTTAGTGCTGTAAGGTCTTGTTGAACTCGATAAATTATTACTTAATACATATACAATATCTTAAATATTATTAAAATGTCTTATCTTAGCTATGAAAATAAAAGCTTTCATGAACTTCCAAGTTCCAACTGAAAAATAGTTTACAAAATTTGAAATAATTATCGTGGCTTTAAATTGCTCAACAAGTTCGAAAAAGTTCGGAAATTTCACCGTGTATGGAAAATCTTTGGTGAACATTTTGTGAGTCTGCTGTTTTTCGTTTTGGAAATACTACAAAGTATCAAAAATCGATTAATAATTTACCACTGAATATCAAAAATCGTATAAAATAACAGTTAAGAAACCGAAAACAAAATCAAAACTGAAACAGAAAAAAATTGGATACCGACATACCGTTATTATAATCTAAAACCGAAAAATTCAAAATTAATATCATATAACACATTGACCGGGTGATTAGTTTGCAAATATTATGAAACATGCTAACCCAATTGATAGTAGGGAATGATGTTCTAATAATATTATAATCACTGTTTAAATAATCATATATAGTTTCAATAAAATACAAAGGTTGAATATTAACATTTATTTGAAATTTAATTAGTAAAGTAGGATGATTAAACATTAAACCCCGGATATTCTGTTATATAGTGATAAATGATTTAAATTGAAATTGGGATTAATCAGTTTTTTGAAACAACATAAAAATTATTGTTATATTTAATAAACTGATCATTTTCACCATCGTTTTTTCTTGCATTTCATTCATCGATTAAAGTTGAAACAAAGTTCTCTCCGTTGATACTGTAATATTTTTAAAAGAATCCAGATTTTTAAGCTTACGTTCATTTTTTAGAATTTTGAAAGCATCATATATTGAGTAGGCAGAGTAGCTCGAATAGGCCTATTTTTATTTGATAATTTACCCAAACGTAGAACATTTGTAGGATCAACAATGAAATTAATTTGACGAAATATTTTAGAAGTACTCAGTTTGTCGTCAGCAGTTGACTGGGTTTCAGTCAGATTAAATATAATAACGTTGCAACTTCTAGACTGACGGTCATTAATCTCAGCAAATATTTTTTACTGACTTAATGTAGTTGAGCGGATATGATATTAAGTTCCAATATTTTGATAATTTATTTTCTAGTTGTTCAATTTTAGTTTCAATTGATTTGTTTTTAGTCAGAATTTCATTAAATTGCTAAGATATATTATCTAACTTACCGCTAAGATCACTAAATCTTAAATGATGTGACTTTTCCTCCCGAAATTGAGTAAAAAAAGGTGATTTAATTTTGTTCTGTGTAGATTTCATTTTATTGATGGATTTGTTAACTTTGTCGTCCAATTTAAAAAATAAAACAGAGGTATAAATGTAATTAAGACACGTACAATTTAAAATGTAAACGTATAACTGTATAGTTATAGTCCAGAAGCATATACGAAAGTGTGTCCGTTACGACAGTCAACTATCAACTGTTACTTGTTAGTTAAGACTAAATAATAATTTGTTATTCGCAAATTGCAGATCACGTCATGAATGTTACAATAGGTCACTTGTATATCAGGCCGACTTTTAGCATACTGTATAGAGTGTAAATATAACTTAATGGTAGATATGATATTATGAAAATATTATTTTATTGAATTAAAAATATAAAAATAATATTACCGTAGTGTCATTATTTTAATGTAAATTTGAAGAACGAATAATGAACTATCATATTTCAAAAATAATATTTTTACATTTCTGTATTGAAAAATTAATATTATTTTTGTATTAGTCATTACTTATATAATGTTAAAAACAGTTGTAAATAATATTTTTTTGCTACCTGGGTAGTTATTGAAATAAAGATAAGATACCTGATTATATATTTTTTTAATTTCTTTGAATTTGTAATAATATTTCATAAATTTATGAACACGTACTAAAAATTATCAAATACAAATCGTACGTTTTTTTATAATATTATCCAATTATAATGTTTTTTTTCTTGCATATTTTCATGATTTTGACTACATACCTATTATATGACTTATTTTTATATTTTTTAGTCAATAAATGTCCACACACGACACACTACTTATCACCACTCACCAGAATACGTATCTGTCTTATGAATTCCGTTTAAAAAAGTCTTGTGGTTTTTAGTTCACCAAATCCACAATAAATACATATAAACATATTATACAATCATACATTATAGACTATAGTATAATATAATATTATACAGTATTACAGTCAATTTGTAATAAATACTAATACAATAATAAATTAATAAATATTAGTCCAAAACAACTATTAGTGGTTTTACAATAGTGTTTATAATTTTTTTTTTTATCCTGTATGCAACATTTCTACCAGACGGAGTGCTTCGATTTCAGCATACAGCATCTTATCTTTTAGCAAATATTGGATCAAGAATAGGCACTTTAAAGAGGTCATTTTTTGATTTTCTCAATAATTAGTTAATGCCACGGGAAAAACCACCAACAAATTACAAAAAAGTAAAAACCGCTAAAAATGGGATTTTAATTTCTAACGCGTATTGTGTATCACCATAGAACGAAAAAAATTATAATATTATAATATCAATTCAACTTACAGGCTATAATAATTAATAATAACAATATAAAACAAACCGTCTCCGCTCAGAATCGTTTTTCTTATACAATGATATTTTGTCATTGAATTCAAGTTTGATACAATCCATTATACATTGACCCATTTGTAACCTACTGTACAGCAGAGCGACATCCACTTACCCGGTTTTTTTAAATAATAATTATTTTTGATTAAAATATGATTCCCTGGCATATAACTTTACGTTCAAATATTTTATTATAATATAATACTATATTTGATTGTACTCCCAATAAACATTTAACAATTTGTGGGTATTTGGACGTGATAATTATATACAAATGCGGCGTCATTAGGTATCTGATTACTGTTTAGTATCAGATTCATATACACCATACATATAAATTATTTATGCTTCCTTTTGATAATACCTACTATAATGGAGTAGGTAGTAACAATAATATATCCTACGTTACGCTCATATATTAATATACTATTATATCATGTTCAACTAAGAAGTATATTATGGAAGTTTAATAAAAATAGTTAAGTAGTAGCCCAGCTAACCCCTGCCCCTATAATTCAATTAAATCTCTGCCTATGGACAGGTAGCTCGGAAGAGCGCGTAACGAAACGTATATATTATATTATAATTGTATATATTATATGGTAGGTATATGAGGATAGGTTGTAAAGTATTTTCCACCGAACGAAATTGTCCATGATCCGACTTATTTTTATGCCTACCAGGGAAGCTGAGTTGCATCTTAAAGGAGTTGAACGTTGAACAATCAAATTTTTTTTTAATTTGTAATTTTTACGGGCAACGAAGTGCACGAGATCAGCTAGTACATTCAAATAAATATTTAGGTTCCAGCATAGTTGTATTTTCGATAACAGATGATAAAATGCGATTTTAGCAAAAACCGGATTTCGGTTGGCAAAGTGGACTGTTATGTTGATAAAATTTTTTTGTTCCTTGGTCAAAAAGTTTGAAAATATAAAACAACATTCCTTGTGTGATTTTTACACCAGGTACATACAATAACGAAAAGAATTATACCTGTAAATTATCAGATAGTAAACTATGTAAATATAGTCACGACTTTCAAAAATCGCATGAATTAATTTTTGACTTGTTAATAAATAAAAAAAAAGTGAGTGGTGTCATGGGGGACACCTGGTAAAAACGTTGTTTCTTTTCCAACAAATATTATAAATTATAAATACATTTTAGTGGAACCATTAAAAAAAAGTAAATGTATTGAAGTATTTAATGAATTTAAGTAAATGTGAAAAATGAAGGAATAAGTCTAGTTTACCGAGCAACCTTTTTTTTTTTTAAAGTGTTGTTTTGACGGGTTAAGAACGATGGTGCAAAAAAATGTGCTCAAATGATTATTTTGGATGTTATAGCCTCCCAAAGTTAACGATTTTACATTTATACGCTTGCGCGCAACACTACTATATAATACCGCGCGGAGGACCTCGAGATTTTTATTTTAAAAGTTACTATATAGTCCCATTTTGTTTTATTATTTTTAATTTTTATTAATTATTTAAAGCACTAATTTTCATTGTCATCAGTTTCACATTCATTTTCATCTTCATCTTCAGTTTCATATTTTACTGCAGCAGGCGCGTAGCCAGGGGGGGTGTTACAGGTGTAATAACACCCCCCCTCAACCATGGTGTACTATGTTTTATAATTTAAACCGGGACACGGGCACACGGAATTAGATAATTATTATTTTAGACCATTCTGTGTCAGTTTATCGTTGACTCGTTCATAGGCGCACATAGGGTATGAATTTAGGGGGTGCTGGGATAATTTATGGTTCACAGATCCGTGGGGGGCTTTGCCCCCCACACCCCCTAATCCTAATATTTCTGCATTGCATTAGATTTAATTTGTATAGTGTATACAATAATTTCTAAAGTGCAATGTATCAAATAGTCTGTATGATTGTAAAGAAGACGCTAGGTACACCCACATGTGTTGTCTCCGTATTACAGACGTAGATACAACATAGGAAAAACTGTTTTGCACGGGTATAAAAAACATTCAGTCTCTACTCTAAGCTAAGAAACTAAATGTTCACACTATAAAAATGAGAAAATTTACTCTGTAACTTTGTTCTTATATTTCCGATATCAAAACGAAAATAAAAGTTATTTAAGTTTGATAAACAAAAAAAGGTGCTCTGCTGTACAGTATGGTACAAGTGGGTCACTGTTTAATCGATGGTATTAAATTTGAATTCAATGATATACTAACATCATTGTATAAGAAAAACGATTCTGAGCGAAGACGGTTAGTCAGCCTATGATATTACTAAGTATATTTAATGATACTAAGGTGAATAAAGCAATTTATATATAACCTATTTACGTAGAATCTTGTTTTAAATTATTATTAAATTTTAAATGTGATAAATTTTGTCAAAATTTGAATTTTAAATAATTTAAAAAAAAAATTGTGCCTATGTATTTTTAATATTTTTCAAGTGTTATTGCAACAATATATCAGGAGCTTTGCATTAAATTTTCAAGCTTTTTTTATCATACAAATACAATTTTATTGATATGAATAGAAAAAAAAAATTAAAAAAATTGAAAACTGAAAATGTCCGTAAATAGCTCAAAAAGAATCAAAATATTTTGAAAACTATATGGTGTATAGGAAATGCTAATATAAAAATTTAGTAAAATTTTCAAGTATCTACAGTCATTCGTTTTTTAATTATAACAAAATTAGAAAATCGTTACATGAGAAATCGAGTGAATATCAAATGTTGTAAAAATATGAATTTCAAACGTTCATAAAAATTTAATTTGAGATTCTTGTAGACATTTTTTTTTTGATAAAGGTAGACAAACTTATGAGGAATCTTGCATTACATTTTCATATCTTAGATTTAAAAAGAAAATTTTTTATGAATTTCTAACACGAAATACTTTGCAAATTTTCGTCATTTTCACGTATTTTGTCAATATTTGGAATTTAAATGCTTATCACAAAAAACTGTGACTAAGGATTTTTAATATTTTTCATCTGTCTTTGAAACAATATATTAGGAGCCTTCTATTAAATGTTTAAGCTTTTATACCCAACAAATAAAATTTTATTGATACTTATAGAAAAAAAAAACTAAAAAAAATGGAAACTAAAAATTCCGTAAAAAGCTCAAAATAACTCAAAATATTTAGAAAATTTTATCATGTATAGAAAATGGAAATATAAATAACCAATTAAAATTTCATATATCTACGGTAATTTGTTTTAAAGTTACACCAAAAACCAAAATCAATTTTCCGTAAAAATTCCCGTTTTTCCTTAATTTTTCTTTTGTTTTTCACGGCGCTTTTGAAAACTACTGTGAAATTTTTGCTTTTGACCCCCCCCCTAAGTACCAACTAGATTCACTTTCCTATCAGAAAAGATACTGTTGAAGAAAATCCAAGCACTTTTACTGTCCTAAAAGATGATGACAGACAAAAAAAAAAAAAAAATGAATTCGTGAATTCGTAAACAGTTGTCAATATTTGTAATGAAAAGAAAAATTCCGAACCAATAAACCACGATAGCTTATAAATGATTGGTGAAATACTGAAATAAACTGAGGGTGCTAGTTTGAAGCTTGGGGGTGCTAAGCACCCCCAAGCACCCCCCTATGTACGCCTATGGACTCGTTTCATGTACGATACAAGATATCTTTTAATGCAGA